TTGGAGGACCCATTACTACGCAGCTTGGTTCCAGACCTTCTTGATTTGCAGTTGGGATCCAGGGCCCCGTCTACCTTAACCACGTACAAGTCGGGCTGGTTGAGATGGCGCGGATGGGTGTCCTCGAAGATTGGTGTCCCTGTCATTCCGACAAAGCCCTTGTATATTGCACTTTTTATTACAGAACTTACGAACGTTCGCCTTGCGAAGAATACGGGTGTCTCCTCCATAGAAGCTGTTGTTTATGGCATTAAGTGGGCCCACTCTATGGCTGGGCTAGAAATATGTCCAGCCAACCATCCCCTTGTGAAATCTTCCCTTGAGGGCGCGTAAAGAAAATTGGCGCGTCCTGTTAGCCCGAAAGAGGATTTATCCATAGACACGCTGCAGGCAATTGCCGAACGTTATGTTTCGAGTAATTCTCTTGCCACTCTTCGTTTTTTGTTCATTAGTTGGTTTCTATGGGATTTTCGTATTGATGAAATTAACAGTTTTTGCCTTAAGGATGCGACCATTAATGCTCACCACATGTCTATTTACGTCTCCGAGCGAAAAAATGACCAGTATTGGGAAGGTCACACCTTATCTTGCCAGGTCTGGGAAATCTACGTGCCCAGTTTCCATTACTGAACGAATTATTCAGGTTTTGTCGCAGTCTAATTCATCGCTTACGATTGTTCGTCGTATTGTTAAGTCCAAATCTGGCGATTATTTCCACGCTAGCAAGGGCGTGTCTATTTCTACTCTTAGAGAGGAATTCAAGAAGTACATCCAGCCGTTGACGACGTTTCAAAGTACGGCACGCATAGTATGAGGTCTGGCGCAGCGTCGAACCCCGCTTGTAGGCGCATACTGGGCGATTTATTGGATATGCATGCTGGGTGGAGGTGTCCTTCCTCGAAGGACAGATACATTAAACATACAATTTAAGACCGTTTAAGCGTTTCAAAATCGCTTTTGCTCTGAGGGTATACTTTATATTACGCTAGTTTACAGTTTATTCTTACTTAGCTGAAAGAGCGTTTCTTGTCATTATTTTGCGATTATTTGTGCTTTTTTGCTAGTTTATAACTATTGTAGTTCTATTTGCTATTTATGGCAATCAATTTATTTATCGTATTTATTATGTCCATCTATTTGCTGTAGCCTAGAAGTCCTGGCGGGGGACGTAAGTGGTGCCTGGCCCGTCCCAGACTTCCTGTCCAGTGTTTTCCCTACGGGGTTTTTTGAGGCAGGTTTTTTCTGGCCCCCCTGGCTCGCTTACTCGTAGTTGATAGATCCGGTTACGATTATAATCATATATTTCAATTGTAGTTCAATATTCTGATTGATGGCGTTGCTCGCAGTCCATGATTTGTTGTGTCTTGTTTTCATTTGGTTTTATTCGCTTAAGTTAGTGCAGAACATAAGATTTTCAGGGGAAACAGAGGAGAGATCAGTCGTCACCGTGACCAACAGGGTATAAAGGGATGACTTAAGAGAATTGACTGCTAACTGCCATTGAGAGGTGAATCATTAGATTAATACAGAGCTTCAGGAAGAGCCCATAAATTGTATCGTGACACAACCAAGATCCTCCAACACGCCATCCCCCACCCCGCGAGATAAATAATGACCGGTCGCTGACACATGCCCAGTAAATGCCATTTTTCTTCCTCGGACTAAGTCAGTTACCAGGTTTTTGCTTAGTATTTCCGGTGGTGATCTTTGCAGTGGTTGGAACCGGGTGCCGGGTTGTAATCTGTGCAACGTAAATGTCACTCACTATTTCATTGTGGATAAATGCTTTTAATGGTTAACAATGGTTATAATAGTCTAAGACGCTTATATAATGGCATTACTCTATTTAGATAGGAATATTCGAAATAGCAAAATCGGCGTTACAGTTCTAAACTGACATAAAAGGTATAAAACAAGCACTCGTGCCTATATGCGTGTAATAAGGTATAAGTAGATTATATCACTTCAGAAAGCCTTTCTATAATGATTAAACTTGATTCATTAACTAATTATGCTAAAGGTCGGTCTGTGTTTACTCACTCTGTATCATAGAAACAACGATACCCTATCAATTGGTCCTTCCAGTGGAGAAAAGCACTAAACTATAAGAGACACTGATTTTATCTGATAATCAAACAAACTACCGCAGTTTGTGAGTGACCTCTCTAATTACGTCTCTTATCTACTTGACAAACAGGTTCTGCTCTTCCTTCTGCGACACATCCAATGAAATCAGCTTAGATTCTGAGTTTGGTTATAAAATCGTCTATATCCTACGGCTTCGAATAACTCTCAGTTAATTTAAGGGCCTGTCACTCTCTGAAGTCTTGCTATGGCATTAACACCGACAGAATAGAAATCTAGAACATATCTAATCGATTTACCACAGCACTTGAAATGCTCCTTTTCGTAAGCTCTGAAAAAGAGCCTATATTCCGTGGCCCTGAATTGAATCGTGGCTCTAATCCTGAGTTTTTGATTAAGTGGAGGTGCTGCTGCAGTGTTGTCTCGAGGGTCTAGTGCCATGACCTGGCCTAACATGCTGAAGCTAATGATCGCTTTGATTGTTGCAAGCATTGCAAGAGTAAAACTAGTGAGGTGTACCGTGACTTTTTTGGTAAAGCTTTTTAGCAATAGATAGGGACTCGAAATGTGTCAGCCAGAAGGTATTAAGCATTACGTCCAGCATGTGACAGACCGTTATAACAACTGCTAGGACGCATGATTAGTCAATGTTCCTACGCTCAAGAAACAGAAAAACTAAAGCTTCCCGAAAGGGGCGTGTATGCTTTTAATAAAACAGTTTGTTCATCATCATGATCAACACAGCGATGGTTCCACACATGACAACTTTGCCACGTGACATCTCAGCAGTACCATTCCAGTTTGGAGGCTTGTCTGACACTGCCAGTGTCTGGGTGCTGTTGCAGGCTTTATCAGAACACGAGGCCAAGGTCCTTACCCAGACATTGTGTCCCTCCACTATTAACGGGAGCGCTCCTTGTTGTACAGCTGAGGCAAATTCTTGGATGGTCTGGTTGAAGTCGATGGATGGAGTGGATGTCGAAACGATACCCAGGGCTTTCTTATCCGCTAATAAGACGACAATTTCCAGGTTTTCTGCATCTTCAACTCTCCCAGTATAGGCGAGCCAGTCCATCACATTTGAGTTCCACCTCAAGGCACTCGCAATGGCTGAGCCAACTCCGTCTGCGAATCGGCTTTGAGCATCAGACTCAGGAAGAGGATCAGTTGAGCGTCTTAATCGCAGAAACCTTTTGATCTTCAGCTTGGTCACTCTGACTGGGCCATCTTTTAGCTCTCTGTAGCATTTCTTGATGTTAGCAGACCATCCACATTCATTTCCTATATTCCACATTCCCTTGAGAGATTCCCAGAGTGTGTCGACTTTGACAAAGGAACCCTTGATGGTCCAAAAGATCTGGTAGTAATCGGAGCAGTCGAGATCACAGACGGACGGCACGCCTTTGTCTGGATGCAGGTAACATGGTGTGTGAGAGGCGAACGCTCTGTCTCGTATCTCTTTACAGGTTGGGTTGGCCCATGGCCGTAGTAGTGGTACCAGTGAGACTTGGAGGCATTTACGAACCCCGTTAACCCAGTTTTTTCCGGTAAGACTGAATTTTGCAAAGTTTTCGTTATACAGCTTGCAAAAATGTTCAGCGTATTTTATTGCATATCCATTACTTGTAGCTTCACAGGGATACTTTTTTTCCAAGCAGTTGCGGTACCAACCACAGGATTCCCCTGGTGGACTATAGCACTGTGAAGGCAGTAATGTGGTAGGCGTGAGGGTGTTTGGATATGAGGTTGGATTGCTGGGAGAACAGGAACAATCGCTCGTCACTGGTCCATATTCCTTGTTATTCTCTTCAAGCATACACTGGTACCAGCAGTAAACTCGAGTTCGGTCAAGACATAGGTGTTTTTGGTTACTCTTTTGCTTAATGTATGCATCTGTCAAGCACGTCGCCCACTGGTATTCGTTATTGTACCGCTGTATCTGAATGCATTCTACAGTTCCAGCCGGTCCAGACCACTTGTTACACTGGGCGGCCCATCCCAACTTAACCACAATCATTAGCATTAACGGTAGAATAACCATCGTTCAAAGCTGAGACCTGGGAAATGTAATTAAGCCATTTTAGGAGAAAAAGAATGCAATAAAAACTCTTAGGGGAAACGAGTTAGAGGGGGTTCGAGTTGTCCGATTGAAGTTGAATATCAGGTATCCCATTAATGAACAGAAGAAAATCATGTTTTTACCCCGGCATTCTTGCTAAACCATTAGTCATTTTAGTACATTCAGTTTTTTTAGAAGGCCTTTTTCGATGAGAACGTTAATTTTTGGAAATTTAGCTAAATGCACTCCGTTTTCAAAAATGTTATTACGTTTGTATCAATCGCGACTACAGATTGGGACATGTCAATCTGCTATGACACTTTGACGTTTTTCGACCGGCGTTTTTTGTTTTTTTTTTGAGTTATTTGGGTAAATTTAACCCTTGGGTAAGTAAAATCGGTTTGATTTAATTAATAGGGAGTTCGACTTGCCGAGATAGCTGATAGTAAATGTTTGCAAAGTTGGAGTCAAATCCAAGGGAAATCGAGTCTTGTTCGAGTTAGTGGGGGATTCGAGTTAACCGAGTTCGAGTTAGCGGTATTCTACAGTATTACTCTACAGCTTCGCTGCCAGAAGTAATTCTTAGAAATCTCCATTATTTCTTCACTGTATTACTGAGCTCGAGTACTGTTTATTTACATATGGTTGCGTTACCGTGTTTCATATCACTCTTTAGACTCGATGGTACTTTATCATTAGTAAAGGAGGATCAGTCGGGTATCCCATTAGCCCTTGCGCGTTATTATCGATGAGAAGGAGTCACATTGCGTCAGTGTTAATAGAGTTAATAACTCTGATAGACCGGTTCACGCTCTTGAGTGCATGCTGGGTAATTAGGGCAAGCAAATCCAAAATGGCGGACACGCTCGGCTACACTCTTTTGCTTGATCTGAATACTTAATGAATATCGGCTTTGTTTCAGAACTGGTCGCAATTTTTAGTATTGACAGTTCAAGATAAAAGTCACAGCTACATTTTGAGCTCTGTATTTTCGATTTTAATGCGTCAAAAAATAAGATATATAATGGTTAACTACCGATGTTGTGTTGGAGGTTGTAACAACGACTCAAGATATCCAAAAAAGATAGTGAAACGGTCACATGTCGAAAATCTTCGCTGGCATTTTATTCCGAAGGATCCAAAGAAAAGAGCCCAATGGATTGCCAGCATATCCAAAGGACTTGTTGGATTCGAACCCGGCAACTACAAGACTGTTTGTTCGAATCACTTTCAATATGGAAAGCCAACGTACTCCTCACCAACTCCAACTTTGTATATGGTGCCAAGTGACTCTAACAAACCTTCACCCAAGAAAAGAAAGCTTGTGGCAAGACACGAAGTTGTCTCTACTGCTGAGGCATCCAATAACTCAAGCTTCAAAGAAGAAGGAACTCAATGCTTGATAATAAATCCGCTAACATACGGAAGTATGAAGTTTGCTGATTTAACAACAGAGCAAGATGTCCAGCGTTTCACTGGATTCCCTAACGTAGAAACATTTCAATTGATGTTTAATACACTCTTTGAAAAAGCCATGTGTATGCACTACTGGAAAGGAGACAAAGAAAGTGCTTTGAAGGACACCACCAAGCCCAGGTCAAATAATGTACAGAGAGCTCTAACCTTGGAGCAAGAGTTTTTGCTAACCATGATGCGAATCAAGCTAGGACTCTTTGTATTTGATCTGGCTTTAAGGTTCAAAGTTTCCGAGGCGACTGTCAGCTCTGTCTTTACCACTTGGGTTAAGCTGATGTCTAAAGAATTAAAGTGGATGATTTCCTGGCCAGATAGGTATTTAATTCAAAGAAATATGCCTGATATGTTTCGACGATATTACAGAAAGTGTAGAGTCATCATTGACTGCACAGAACTATTCTCTGAAACCCCATCAAGCTTAGAGAATGCGGCAATGTGTTGGTCAAATTACAAACAACACTACACGTTAAAGTTTTTGATAGGGATAACACCAAATGGCCACATATCATTTGTCTCTGAGACCTTCAGTGGGAGGTCATCTGATGTTTTTATTGTAGAAAACAGTGGTTTCTTAAACTATCTTCAGCCACATGACCAAGTTATGGCAGACAGGGGATTCAAGATTCATGACCTGTTAGCATACTACCAATGTTCTCTAACAATTCCACCCTCCAAGCATTCCAATCTCCAGATGTCAGGTGCTGATGTTAGGAACACATCACTTATTGCTAATGTACGGATTTATGTCGAGCAGGCTATCAAGCGAATTAAAGACTTTGCTATGTTAAAGCAAGAAATTCCCATTAGCATTCTTTCCCATTTGGATGACATAATCATCATTTGTGCAGCAATATGTAATATGAAAAAGCCTTTGAGTACATANAAGATTATAAGCACTGAACGTCTTCGATCTTCGCTTTCATCCTCTAGCTGTTTGGGTAAATCGAAAGAATATCACATTGAGAAGCCTGGAAGTCTCGGACAACAAGCCAAATTGGAAAGTTTGATGTAAGTCTGACTATCCAAATCCAAGCAGTTGACATAAATTAGTGGCGCACGCGAGAGCACTTCGCTGTAGATCTCAACTACCTCCATCTCGACAGAGTGATTACGTGACTAGAGCGAATTGATAATATCGTTCTAAGCGTGGAATTGTGGGATACCTGACTAATCCTCCTTTTATAACTGGCTCCGCTTTTATTCCGTAGCCGCCTAGTCACTTCCGGTCGTTTTAATGCTATTTTGGTAGCCTACATGTGGCCGTACCCTCCGCCCGAGGAGAGCTATTTAAGCGACTTCCTCTTTACCGCGTGTTGCGCTTCTAAATTTTTATAGTCACAGTAAACGTCGATCACTTCATGCATTTATTGGGGCTGTTAGGTTTGGCTCATGAAAAGTTTGATGACCGGCCCTGAGAAGCTTTCCCTTGAAAAATGACCCAGCAGGACAATTTCAAACTTGAAAATACGAAGCGTTCAGCCAAACATGACCTCATTACCTATTCAAATTTATTTATTCCAGCGCGTGCAAGCTGGCGCTTGTGATCATGAGAATCGTTCAGAGTTCCAAATAAGTCCGAGCCTCAATTGTTTAAACTGGGGTATTTTTCAATGTACATCTGAGGTGATGATTCATCACCAAGTAAAAAAATTGAGAGTTATTTGAAGTTATTGTAAGTGTAACGCCAGTGTCGAAACGCCCCCACTGACCCCTTTCATCTGTGAAAATAATTCGTTGTTCAAGTTGCTTCCGTAGTTTCCTAGAAATGCATCGTTTGTGGGATGTTATTCCTCTGCCGAGACCAAAAATAACTTCTTATTCTGCACTTCTGCTGGCCTGATTTTCTCCAGGCCCAGGCGCCTGGTGCATTAACCATATTACAACTTAATAAAAGACTAGAAAGCTGGGTAATATAAATGTGACATATGAAAGCGTTGGTATTTCATTGTAGCTAAGTACCTGAAGTCATCAAGTTTAAATTAGCACGTATCGAGTCCACTAGGGCCAATTTCTGCCACCGAACAGCAAATTCCATCAACTTACACGACTTTGTAAATAGTGTCGTCTTAATCATAACTAAGATAACTTTACAGCAGGCGAACACAACACAATAAATAATTTGCAGCATTCTGAATTATTTACAAAACTCTGCGACATGACGTCGCCACAAGTACTTAAGCAAGCGCAAACGAAAACGAAAACTTAAGAGTTTAGTGAATCATTTTTCACACTCTACGCAGTTCCTAACTACTTGAAAAGCTAAGCTATGAAAAATTGTCTCGAATTTCACTACAAGCAAAAAGCACAATCTTTTCGGAGAGCTGTGAACGGCGTTCGCATGATAAAAATAGCTCGAGGAAATAAAATTCCATGCTGCACCCCTTTTATGACTGAACTCTTATAACAGCCCACGTGGAGCCGAAATGGGAGGCTGAAGGGGGAGTACGAAAGTTAACGAGGCCCGAGGTCACTAGCTATAGTTACTTTTGATAACATGCTCTTGGTTTCATCAAACAATAAAGAATAAGCGGCGTACAAGAGCTGGACGAGCCTCTGTTTTCCAAAGCTGACATGTTTCACTTTCGAATTGCGCTATTCAGCGGTACATTGAGAATTGCACCTTAGCGTCAGCGTAGACTGATATAAACTTATAAATTTTGAAATCACCCTTGTGAAACCTCCGAGAACCCTTATCAGAATGGCTAGACTAATGAGACACCTCACAGAGAAAGAAATGAAGATTCTTCCTCGACCCAAAGAAAAACCATCATTCCGCAAGCCATCGCCTCAAAATAGCATTATTCATCCCACTGAACGTGTCAGGCCGCCTACATTCACTGCTAATGAGCTGGAAACCATTTCTCTTTTATATCTTACCGTGAACTACTTACCGAGAATAGCTTTTATAAATGAATTCAAGGGATGCACAGCAACTCTGTCAACGTCAGTTATCTAATGCAAAGTTTGAAGTGGGCCAACGGACTTTCCTTGGGATTAAATACGTGCGCCTACGCTTGTATGAAGGGTAGGGACCGTAGGGTAAACCTTCCACACAAGCTATCTTTTCTCATTAATCTCAGATAGTTAATCATTAACAGCTGCAGAGGCATATTGTCCGCTAAAAACAAAAACCGATTCTTTAAATGGTTTCTTTGCGACTGTTTTTGTCTTAGGTAGGAATTAAGCTGCCTATAATACCCCTGGACCCCTCCCTTCTCTGATTATGGATGACAAAATTGCGGCTCCCTTGTTCAGTTTCCACGAATTGCGAGCATTGTGATTGTATTTCTCTTCTGCACACGACAGGTGATTTGAAGGTCAAGAATGACTGGCTCGTGATAATTCTTAAATCCGCATAAGTCTCTTATTCAATTCACAACCTTTGAACACTCGCAGGAGCCCAGGATTTGATGCTACTCTGGTTTAAAGATTTAAAGAATGTAACCGAAATTCCAATCCATCGAAACATTGGGTCGATGAGTGGTACCTTCCGGTTACACTCATTAAATCTTTAAACCAGAGCACAGGCAGCCCAAGCTCACGACTAGAAAAGCGGACGTGACTCTTAACGTGTTGCGCAACGTTTTATATTTATAAAGGTTTGTATGGGATGTTATCGGTTTGCCTTAAAAGAGAGAAAAAAATGTCTTGTTTTGAAATAAAATGGGCTTCCCTTATTGCTTTGTTGTTTTCTTTGTTGATTCCGAGCGTCTCAGGCCATTTTGAAGCGTTTTCGGCGAGTTAGCGCTATGTTGCTTCGCTGGCAGCAGTAATTTTTAGAAACCTCCAACATTTCTTCACTGTTATTGTAACTCAAGTACTGTTTATTTACATATGGATGCGTTACCGTTTTTCATGTCACTCTTTATAGACTCGATGGTACTTTACCATTAGTTAAGATACCTAATGGCAACTGCATTTAAGTGTGTGGAATATGTCCCTTTTTATGACTGGCTCCGCGTTTATTCCGTAGCCGCCTTGTCGCTTCCGGTCGTTTTAACGCTGTTTTGGTAGCTTACGTGTGGCCGTACCCTCCGCCCGAGGAGAGCTATTTTAGCGACTTTCTCTTTACCGCGTGTTGCACTTCTAAATTTTTATAGTCAGAGTAAACCTCGATCACTTCATGCACTTATTGGGGCTGTTAGGTTTGGCACATGAAAAGTTCGACGACCGGGCCTGAGAAGCTTTCCCTCTAAAAATGACCCAGCAGGACGATTTCAACCTTGAAAATACGAAGCGTTTAGCTAAACTTTACCCAATTATTATTCAAATTTGGATATATCAAAAAAGTTGAAATGGTAAATTGGCCACCGTATCTATTACAAAAGCTGACGTTTCGAGCGTTAGCCCTTCGTCGGAGCGAATAGAGGAATTGTGGGTTGTGTGTGCTTTTAAAGGCAGAAAATATTTCCCACCAATAACGTAGCTCCATTTTCTACCTTTAAAAGCACACACAACCCACAATTCCTCTATTCGCTCCAACGAAGGGCTTTGTAATCATTACGGTGGCCAATTTACCATTTCAAGTTTGTTGTTATATCCAAATTATTTCGTTACCCCCACCGACGCAGCCCCAAATAATTTCTTTAGAAACTATCAGCCTTTATTATTCAAATTTGTTTATTCACGGGCGTGCAAACTGGCGCTTGTGATCATGAGAGCCGTTCAGACTTCCAGACGAGTTCGAACCTCAATTTTTTCAACTGGGGTATCTTTCCATGTACTTTTGAGGTGATGATTCATCACCAAGAAAAAAAACTGAGAGTTATTTGAGGTTATTGTAGGTGTAGCGCCAGTGTCGACACGCCCCCATTGACCCCTTTCATCTGTGAAAATAATTCGATGTTCAAGTTGCTTTCTTAGTTTCCTAGAAATGTATTGTTTTCGTAATATTGTTCCTCTTCCAAGACCAAAAGTAACTTTTTATTCTGCAGCTCTGCTGCCATGATTTCTCACCAAGCAGGCACCTGGTGCATTAACCGTACTACAACTTAACAAAAGTCCAGAAAGCTAGGTAATTTTAAGATCGACGTACGAAAGCGTAGGTCTTTCATTGTAGCTAAGTACCTGAAGTCATCAAGGTTAAATTGGCACGTATCGGATCCACTTACACCCAATTTCTACCACCGAGCAACAAATTCCATCAAATTACAAAGTGCGTCGTCTACGTCAAAACTAAGATAACTTTACAGCAGGCGAACACAACACAACGGACATTTTGCAGCGTCCTGAATTATTTAAAAAACTCTACGACATGTCGTCGACCGCCACAAGCACTTACAGAAGGCGCAAACGAAAACGAAAACTTTAGAGTATATTGAATCATTTTTCACACTCTACGCAGGTCGTAACCACGCGCGAGAAAAGCTAAGCCATGAAAAAATTGTCTTGAATTTCACTACAAGCAAACAACTAAGCACAACATTTTCGGCGAGCTGTGAACAGCGTTTGCATGACAAAATTAGCTCGAGACACCTCATGGAGAAAGAAATGAAGATTCGTCCTTTGACCCAAAGAAAAACCATTTCTGCAAGCCATCGCCTCAAAATAGCATTAATCATCCCACTGAACGTGTTAGGCCGCTTACATCCACAGCTAATATAATGAGCTAGAAATAATTTCACTTATATCTTATCTTGAACTACTTACCGAAAATTGCTTTTATAAATGAATTCAAGGGATGCACGGCAACTCTGCCAACGTCAATTGCCTGGTGTTAAGTTTGAGGTAAGTACTGGCCTGCCGTACCGCCTGCCATAATTTTTCCCATGATGCCTTGATATATTTTCATGAGGGGGCCTGGGGATGATAGTAGAAAAATGGCATCCTAAAAGTTGTTGAGTCGAAGACCAAAGGAAATGCATCCGATCCTTGTGTTATACTTTGCCTTCAAAGAAGAGGGAAGAGCTATTGAAAAGAGAAGGAAATCCTACCAGTGGTAAGGACGTTAATCTCGTATTATTGGTTGAATAAAATATGACAAAATCTCTGCCTAGTTAGGGCTCGACACTAACGGTAGCCTACTAGCCACAGACTAGTTGAAATTCAGTTTTGGCTAGTGGTTTTCAATTTCCACTAGCCAGTTTGGCTGGTAAACTGACTGAGATTTTCGTATGACATTAGATTTTTTTAGACATTTAAGAATAAATATTAGCGAGAAAAACACACAACGTTTCGATGACTCCATGTCATTATTCTCAAGTGAGAAGAGAATAAAAATGAATAGTTAATTTATACCGTACGAAGGTGACAAACGTAAAAAGTTAAATTTTTTTTAAAAATTGAAATAAATGGAAGTATGGAGGTGCTCAAGAAAGGCTGTAAACTAGAAACTAGTGTTTATCGGAAACCACCAAACACAGGCCTATTGCTTCATCACCAGAGCCACGTCGATAAAAGGTACAAGAAATCACTACTTAAGACCATGTTGAATCGTGCATTCCGCCTGTCGTCCACATGGGAGTCCTTCAAATCTGAATGTGATCACCTAAAGATGATGTTTACAAAGCTCAAGTATCCCGACCACCTCATCAATTCCATCATCTCTCACTTTGTCACCTCAGTTAGGTCGGAAAACCCTGGAGTGCAAGCTCAATTATCCATCAACGAAAATGCTGTTCAGCGAGTGGTTTTGCCTTTTAAAGATCAAAAGTCAGCTGATGCAGTGAAAAGGCAATTATCAGATCTAAGCAACAAAATCGATCACACCCTTCATCCCGTGTTCAAGAGTCGCAAAATCTGTGAAGATCTCAGAGTACGTGAGCCTAAACCTCCTATAGTTGGCCAACAATGCGTTGTATATAATAATAAATGTGATCTGTGTGATGCAGAGTACGTCGGGTACACCAGCTGGCATTTACATCAACGTATTAATGAGCACCGTAATTCGGCCATCGGCAAACGTCTAAAGAACAACCACGGCCTACAAACCATCGGCGACCTGACCAAGCATTTCAACGTACTTAAAAAGTGCACCGGGAAACTGGACTGTTTAGTTCATGAAATGCTTTTCATAAAGAAGATGAAGCCCTCTTTGAACAAACAATCAGATTCCATACGGGTGAAACTATTTATTTAATAGTTTACATTTATGAACTCAACACGCGCAATTATTTATTTGAATTTCTAAAAAATTTTTAACTTTTTACGTTTGTCACCTTCATACGGTATAAATTAACTATTCATTTTTATTCTCTTCTCACTTGAGAATGATGACATGGAGTCATCAAAACGTTGTGTGTTTTTCTTGCTGAAATTTTCGTAACATCTAAAAACATCTAAGATGGAAGTCTCCACTCAGGGAAGTTTCTGAAATCAAGGAAACTGTAGATTTTTCCCCCTCCCTTCCCTCAGTTTAATGGATTCAATTTTTTTGTGGCTGGTATAACTGCTTTTTGATCGATTGATTGATTGATTGATTTGTTTCGTTGTTTTGTTTTCCCCTTGAAGCTGGGTGTCTGGTAGAGCTCCTGATGGTAGAATCCAACACTACATGTTAAAGATTCGAGATTAGTTGTGAGCTAGGAAAGATGTAAACAGGATTGCTACACTAAATGACTTTGTTAGTGAACAGAATGAAAAGGCAGGATGGAATTGAGGTTGCTACAGGCTTCACGCCTATCACTGAAGAAAACCGAGGAGGAAATGTTCAAATCAACTCTCTATAAATTAAAGAAACATTTATAATTCCATAAAATTGTCTGAGAGAGGACACTTGGACTTGGATGGCCACAGGAATTAGAGAAAAGCAAATCAGCAAAATACATGGTCTTATCTCGGATATGTTTGGTAATGTCATTACCGGAAACATTTTACATGCAGTCATTCACTCATCGGTTATTGTGATGTGCCTCTGCATTGAGAAGAACATTAACCTAATAAACTTGATGAAAGAGACTTTATTTCCATATTTCTACCAATGTAATTTCACAAAAACAGTTAAAGGGGAGGATGTAATGGTGACTCCCCTTATGGTGTATGACAGAGTGTTAGATTTTCCCTTTGAATTGTCTTTGATTCAACTTTGAGACAGAGAGAGAATTAGCACCAGTTGCACCAGAGGTCAGAGGGCTTTATTCTGTGTACCCCTTCACTGGAAGGCCTCATTCAGAGGGTGTATTGGTTATTGCCCTCCTCGCTGTAAACTTCCTTCAAACTTTAGATTTAAAAAAAGGAAGAAAGAAACCTCTCAGAGATGGCAACTGCATACTTTTCCAAATCTGGATGTATTCTTTTTGTTCCAACTTGAAAGCTAGATCCACATGAATTTACCTCCTTGTTCTTAAAATTCCTTTTGATTGCATCAAATAACCATCAGTAAAAGACATTTCACTTTAATAAATTGCCTTCAAATCAGACTGTGAGTTCAATTGTAATATCAATAAGAAAAAAGTCTTTGAAATCTTTATTTGCAACTTTGTTTATATATTCACAAACTATGACTCGTCACTTCAAGGGTTTATTACAAACCAACACCATGACCACCTCCCAGTTGGCTTGTTAGCTCAGTTGGTAGAGCACTGCACCATTATCGCAGAGGTCATGGGTTTGAATCCTGTACAGGCCTGAACTTTTTTCAGGCCTTATTTTCACTAGTGCTTAAGTAGAGTTCATACCTGCGAAGATCACTCTTGTACTAAGTGTGAACAATGTAAGAAAGAAATATGCATGGACAGATGTTTTTGATGGAAAAAAAAAAACTAAATTTTGCACTTCCCCAGGAAGTCTGAAAGAAAGTTATTTTTGAGTCACATGTGACCTTTGAAGAAAAAGGTGATTCATTCAAAAGATATTACATGATTTTAAACATTTTCAGTTTGCAAAACAGTGGGAAAAATCTCTTGTCATTCCACGAAAAGTCAACAGATTGTGACTAGGGAAATCCCGCAGGGATCTGGGAACAACATGGACGGAAATGTGGGAAACTTCCGCTCAGATCCCCCGAAAGTGTACTTTGTCATTCACGCACGTGTTTCCAAATATGGACAAATTGCACCATTTCGCGCAGTAACCGGCAACGAAGTGCGCGCTTGGCAGAAAATACAGAGTTTACTAAGAAAATCTTAAGAAATTCAGGATCGATTTTTATTTTGGAAGATATTTTAAATACCGCTAGTCGAAGCTGTTCTTTTCTGGTTTTCTAGCCAGTTTGAGGGAAATCAGCCATTGTAAAACAAGCTGAAAAGGTCTCGATTATGTCGTCGGATAACACAACGGAAGCGGCCGACAGAAATGTGGAAATATGGAAAATCAAGAAACTTATAAAAAGTTTAGAAGCAGCCAGAGGGTGAGTGGCAAAGATTTATTATCGTGGACGACGTCAAGTGATGTAGAACCATCGTGAAGATCATTTCGAAGTTCATTCGTGATTCAATGGCTTTTACAATATCTAGCTATTTCTCGACTAAACAGTATCTAAATTTTTGATCGCATATTTTAAACCGGTAAGTCGTTTGGTTAACCCTCATTTTAGAATTACATGTAAAGAGAATTTAAGGCAAGAGAGTTGTTCCTGGAGTTTCCTGCTTGAGAATGACGAAAGTGATTCAAGTTTACACTTTTTTCTCTATCGACTTTCTTTTTGATCAGAAAACGCACATTGTCAATCGATAGAGAAAAATCTTTTGGCCAAAAAAAAAAAAAAAAAAACACCAAGGAATGGTCTTGTGTATTTTTCTGGTTATCCCGCTTGCGCTTAATTTCAATGCTATACACCTTAAGTTATCTTTGCTCAGAAAATAAAACAAGTCGTCCAAGTGTCACTTACATAAGGCATAAAATTACGTATTGCATCCGTGTATTGACATTTTGTAATGTCGGTGCAGTTGATGATGATTGTAATGATACTGATAATGATAAGAAATGAATTTATCTTTTTCTTCACTAAAATAAGGCAAAACAACTCTTTTAAACGAGTGGTTGGGGGAAGGGGGGGCGGGGGTAATCAGATCTCCACACTAACGGTAGCCCACTAGCCACAGACTAGTAGAAATTCAGTTTTGGCTAGTGGTTTTCAATTTCCACTAGCCAGTTTGGCTAGTAAACAGACTGAAATTGTCATAACATCTACAAACATCTAAGATGTCACTAGCCACTTGGCTAGTAAGTTGAAAAGTTAGTATTGAGCCCTGATAATGTACTTAATTTTCCAGTGTACTCAAAACCATTTTGAACACAACTATTGCATCAACTAAATTTCCATAGAAATGTCAAAAGAATCCGATAGCAATCAACGTACTGCTCATTGGATAATTCATGGAAGAAAAGGAAGTCTTTATCTAGTTAGCAGGCAGGTGTGACTGTAGTGAACAATTAACCTTGCTTACTGTCAGATTACATTCCTGTGTCTTTTGGTTAATCTGTGGATCCACTCTAAATTTACAAGTGTCGCTTGACATTGGTACATTGCTGTATTTTTTGCTCATGTTGTATTTTGATTATCAGGAATGGAACAAGCATGATCTCTTTGATCATCCCTCCAAAAGATCAAATCTCTCGTATAGCCAAGATGTTGGCTGACGAGTTTGGAACAGCATCAAATATCAAGAGTAGAGTGAACAGGTGGGTTCACATTACCATGTTTGAGTTGTATGATGATGTCAGATTTGCAGATTAAAATTTTCTCCTAGTTATTTTACTGTTTTTTTTTCATTGAATTACCTTTCTCAGATTGTCAGTCCTTAGTGCAATCACATCTGTACAACAAAGACTGAAGCTGTATTCAAAAGGTATGTTTTAAAACTTGTTACACTTGTCTGTTTAACTTTGCTTTTACTAAACTCTGAAAAGTCTAATTGCCCCCATGCACAACTCCTAACATCTGCTTTAACATTATGCCAACTTACTTCAAATCTTTAAGAAGACCCAGGCTTTCCTCTTTCCTCCCTTGCCCCCTTCCATAATTATTTCATCTCCAATTTCTTCCCAGGTACCTCTTTGTCTTTTCTGCTCACCCTTCTCCTTCCACAGTTTTTTGTCTGTTCATTATTTTTGACGTTGTCCTCCTCCTACTTGCCCTTCATACTCTGTTCCTTCTTTCCTCTCTTTTCACAGGACTCTTTTTCTTCATCTCTCCTTCTTGAAAGGAGAAGTTTGTCATTTCCCCTCCTCCAGAGTTTGTCAATGGATGTGACTTTCAACAGCTGTTTTGGATAATTCCACTTGTCTTATGTTCTAGTGACATTACACCCAAGCTTTCCCTTATTTGGTATGACTCACTGACACAGTAAGAAATCTGTTGCTAGTTGCACCTCAGAGGAATTTCAGATATAATGAAAGAAACCATTTAATATGATATGTACCCCCTAGATATAGCATTACAATCCACATATTCTAAACTTTCATTATTTCAGTCCCTACAAATGGTCTTGTGGTCTATTGTGGAACAATTGTTACTGAAGATGGCAAAGAGAAGAAGGTCAACATAGACTTTGAGCCCTTCAAGCCAATCAATACATCATTGTATCTCTGCGACAACAAGTTTCATACAGAGGTTAGTTAACCAATCAAATGATGTAAACTGTTCACATGTAATTACAAAGGTGGTCATGAGGAGTCAGTACCTCAAGGTTCTGGCTGAAGTGTGACTTGCTGTTTCTAGGACCAGAGGATTAATAAAATAGAGTAGAATGTATTGTTAAAAGGTAATGTTAAACCTTCCAAACCCTTGAATGAAAGTGTCTACAAGCAGAGTCAAAATTGCTTGTTTGATTCTCTTTGGAAGAAGAACAAAGGCTTAACTAGTCTGGTTAGCAGGCAGGTGTGATGTAAAGTGAACAATTCTGCTTACTGCCAGACTACAGATAATTATACTTAATACTCTCTATCTCTTCATGTCTGTGTTGCATGATAAAAATTGTAATCATGTAGATATGTGAAGCAGTGTTTCAGTGTAGCTTTCTTTTACTCCTTGAAATTAAATTGAAGGTTTGAAATTCTTCAGACTTCCCCTCTTCAGTAAATATTCATTCATTATTTTGTTGAGTTTAAAGTAGAAGTTAAAATTTTTGAAGTATTTTTTTCTCTCTGAATGGTCAATTTACAAAACAGGCCTGACTTGACAAGATTGTACAGTGGTGTATTACATGTATAGGTTGTGCAAGTTTAACCTGCAATGGTTAACATGTTGTGTTTGTTGTGTTTATGCAGGCCCTGAATGCCCTTCTTGCAGATGATAACAAGTTTGGTTTTATTGTGATGGACGGTAATGGTGCGCTGTTTGGTACACTCTGCGGCAATACCAGAGAGGTTCTTCACAAGTTTACAGTAGATCTTCCAAAGAAACATGGTTAGTTAAGTAATCAAGCAATATTTAGGATAATTTCTGGCTGACAGCCTGTGAAAAGTCAAAGAAGCACTCTGACTGTACATAATACTAACAGTGATTAACTTTAATTTATACTTTTACAACCACAATAGCCCAAATAGGGCAATTGAAGTTACATGTTGCATATCTTGATTTATTACACGACTCAGGCAGTCAGAGGGCCAATAACTAAAATCAACCACTCAAAATGCACTATTGCCGGTCCAATATTCTCTAAGTATTGGACCGGGCACTGTCCCGAATGGTCCCGAATGATACTGCACTTGTGTCTCTTTGAACTTGAGTTGTATAATAAATCTCTTATCAACCAAGCTTACTCAGGACCGTACTGGAAGAATATTGGTCCTCGGTCTTTTTTGTACGCTCGGTCCGTACTGTCAAGACCTCAGGCGGATATTCTCCCAGTACGGCCCTCATGCTTGGTTAATAAGATATACAGGCCTTCTGACAGGGTGCGTGGGTGCGGAACCGCACAATTCAGTCAAACCCGCACAATACGGAAATTTTTATTTGAAATTTCAATCAAAATGGGTATTTCTGTCGAGTATCAAGATTTCTAGAATATTTTAGACTATTTACCTTCAAAAACACTCTAGCATTTCCACGCTTTCATCAAACAACTTGTCGATTGCGTTATTCAAACAACAAGGCGTTCTAACAGTAGCCTGTGCTTTCCTGGGCACTAGTCTACTTCTAACTCCATTTTTCATTGGCGGTTTGTGCCTATGCTTTTCAAATAACGAATCAGAGGTGTTGTTGAATAAGGCCGCTGGCATTGTGGCTTTCTCATTCAAAGTGAAAAAAGGGAATGTTTATTCTTGGCATTTACAGGACGAATAGGTGGTCAGATATTAAGACTTTCGTAAATCGTAGTGGAATAAGAAAACATGGCTTCCATCGACAGTAACTTTTACTGGAGAACTCAAATTATGGGGCGATCTCCTTGAGTGTTTTTGTTTAGCTCTTTTGGTCGCTTTGACGAACAAAGAATTGCTTCAAAATAGGTTCTAAAGTTCAGTCAATAAGATAAGAATCATTCAAAGTAAAATCTAGAAGTCATTTAGCCATTACAGGAGGAATTTCACATTGATATTTCAAGAAAAGGTATGATTTATGAGGAAAACCCGATGTTTACTTTTACAGGGAGTGGGATATGAAATATTTTGTTCGACGCAAGATTATGCAATCTCGCACAATAACCCGCACAATTAACTTTTTCTCCCACACAATTTGCCTCCGAAATAACGCACAATTTTCATTTTTTTCCTGCACCCTGTCAGAGGGCCAGGATATATGTAAAACCTCACAGCTAGGAGGAAGAATAGGGAAAAAATTCTCATGATTGCTTCCAGCAAAATGCCATTGGCAAAAAAAGGAAAGGAATAATGATTATGTGGAACCCCTGTGTCATATCTACACAGGGGCTCCACAACTGAAGTAGAGTACATTGTTTGTACAGGTTATGCATGAATTGGAACACTGATGCCCTATGTTATTTTTAACTGATGTATTATATTTCATTTCTACAGGACGTGGTGGACAGTCTGCTCTTCGTTTTGCTCGTCTGAGAATGGAGAAACGTCACAACTATGTTAGAAAAGTTGCTGAGACTGCTGTTCAACTTTTCATCACAAATGACAGAGTGAGCAATTACCGTAATATTTTAAAATAAGAATTTCCAAATATCAGTCCTTTCATGTAACCCCAGGAAATGAGACCTAATTCAAAAGACTCACAATGTTGAAAACTGTAGACTGCAGTATAAATGGAGTTGGTAGTTACATTTAGATACTGTTGATCTTTACAGCAAGTATAGGAGGGGTAAAATAAATTGTTGCTAATTTTATTTTTATGATTTGTTTCTAGCCAAACATAACTGGGTTGATTTTGGCTGGATCTGCTGATTTTAAGACTGAGCTGAGCCAGTCAGACATGTTTGATCAGGTGAGCTTAAATGTTCTAAGATATCCAAGAATCTGTAGGCATCTACTCAAGGTACTTCTTCACAAAGGACAGGACAAGCCATCTTTCGCTTGTTGTTTAAGGGAGAAATGCGTCTTGCTAGTTGTGGGTAATGATAATTATCTGGGTGATAATTATTATCTGCTATAATTTTGAGAGAAAGATTAGTCCTCCTGGGGATTTGAACCCTAGATACAGAAGTTTTTAAGTTAAATTAATTTTTTGTATTGTTGTCAAATAACTAAATTTATTATCCAACTACACTTAGACGAGTACAAATAACGCCATAGTCGAGTACAAATACCACGCGGTATTTGTACTCATCTGTTGTAGAGTACCAGTTAAACAGGTTTTCTCGCATCGCGCAAGCAAAGAATTGGATTGTAGTCACAAAAAAAAAAAGTGGCGGACAATTTGAATCATATTTCCAATGACGAAGATTAAGAATGGCTGGCAAATATAGATCCAAGTTTATTAGATGAATCAAAGAAAGCAAAACAGATTGACAACCAGAAAATTTCTTCATTTAATGAAGAAAATAGAAACAGCAACACAATGCGCCAATTCCATTCCGCTTCGCATACTTCTGTCACGCACTCCTCGTAAATAAATATCCACGAAATTCGCCCACACTGAAATAACAGTTTGGCGTGTTGAATAATAATTAACTTATTAGACGATTTGTTGTGTAGTATCGCTGAGTATTTTTACTCGTTATTTGTATTTTGACTTGCCCTACAGGCTCGTCAAAATACGGCACAACTCGTAAAAATACTCAGCAATACTACACAACAAAGTGTCTAATAAGATATATATATTGAGCTAGAGTTAAAATATCTGTCATATGTGTTTGATAATAATGGCAGCTGTTCCCCATGCATTGTTTAGTCCTCACATGTATGGTTTTATGCTGTCTAAAGTAACAATGTGTTTGAGTCTTTTCACTCTCCTTTGTTAATTTGCTTTCAAAGAGCAGATTACTCACACATTGGAGAATTTTGCAGGCTCATACAATTTCTTAGTATTTTTTTTTTACCAACAAAATATGGTGTTTTCATTTTGCCATCATATTTTTATTTATTTTGTAATTTTAAGTCGCTGTGATTCTGTGTCCATATTTCTAGAGGTTGCAAACTAAAGTTTTGAAGCTTGTGGATGTTTCTTATGGTGGCGAGAATGGTTTCAACCAGGTAAATGTAAAACTTTTACTTTTGTACGGAGTTGTAAATTCTCAATAAAAGGAGTGGAAATCTGTGCCCTGTTTTAAATCCTGAAAAAAAAAAAAATTGTTGAGAAAAGGCTTGCTGAAAAGCCAGCAAAATATTTAAGAAGACTTAATATATTTTATTTTTTGGACTGCAATAAGTTCTTTCCTGCTGAGCGAGATCTTTGGCAACTGAATCAATGTAAATTAATGAAGCAAAAGGGTTTTGTCCTAGTGATCTGAAAACAAACCCTTATGAACTGCAAGTTAAGATTAACCCTCCAAATTGGTTTCAACTGACAAATTAGAATGCATACAAATGTACCAAATTTTGATAGTGTTGCTGGGATTAATACCACAAACTGACCATTCTAACAACGGAGACAAAAACTTAACTCCATGTTATTTCGTTGTTGTCTTTGCATTCTTTCGTTTAAGGTACTAATTGGCACAGTTGAATTTAATTTAAATTGTTTTTCTTTTTTTGTCTTTGTTACATGTAGTATCATTGTGGATTATGCTTAGTGACCTTGGTTACATAAGTGGCACGGTTATTTTGTATTTTTATTATTTTACATCATTTTTATATGGTGCACGTTAGATGCAAGTAAGCCAATTGCCTTGCATATCTTCTAGCCTCATTGCGTATCATTATTACTGTAAGTCTGTGGAATATCTTTTTTTCATATTTTGATATTTCATTTCAGGCGATTGAGCTTGCTTCAGAGGTTTTGGCTAATGTGAAGTTCATTCAAGAGAAGAAGCTCATAGGTATATCTGAAACAAACTTTAACTTAAGGGGGCTTTGAAGTAAATTTCTTAAGCTGTCAAGAAAGTGCTGTTTCTAAATTTATCTAATATTTACGTCTTTTAACAGCGCCAGCCTCACAATTGAGTAATTCATGAGTAATTCACCCTGCATAAAGAATGTTTCCTTTTTTAAATTTTAATCTTAGGGTGTATTGCTATATTCACACGAAAATTGTTTGTACACATGTGCATGTAGAGTGTACACTGTAGCTGTAAACTTACTTTAGTTAATACCTGGTATAACAAAAAATGTTAAGAAAAGCCTTCATTGTGACATTTAGGAGGTTTAATATGTTCGTATTTTTTGATAAACAGGGAGGTACTTTGATGAAATCTCTCAAGATACTGGAAAATACTGCTTTGGTGTGGAAGACACCTTAAAGGTTTGTTGATTGGTACAATTAGCCGGTGTGAATATAAATTAAGGCAACATTATACAGCAGTACATTCACATGTGTGTGTTCTAAAACAGGCCAGAGTAAGAGTGATAGAAAAACTCAGAAAACCATGATTACCAGAAGTGTTTTTTATGTTACCATGTTTCAAGGGAAAAGCCAAATGGGCAAGAGAACAAAAGAAAAAAAAAAAGAACAGCAATGGTTACAAGTTTGCCATTGAGGTTTGCTTTGTCCATACTTAAACGATCTGTCAAAATCAAAACAAAGTTTTTTTTAACAGCATTTTTTTGAGTTTCTGACTAAGCTTTTGGTGTTATCAGCAGAAGAGTTCATTCACATCCATTTCTGAATGGATGAACTCATTTGCCAAAACTAAAAAATCAAAGTTCTTTGTACACTGTACATTTTAAGTAAATTTTTCCTGTCATATAATTCTTTTATAATTGACATGGATTTGTTTCTTCAATATTATTTTTGTTCAAAAGAAAGAAAAAATAAAATAATTATCCCCTTTTTTTTGTTGCTCTTCAGGGTCTTGAAATGGGAGCAGTGGATATTCTCATTGTGTGGGAAAATCTGGAAATCCACAGAATTGTTTTGAAAAATCATCAAACAGATGGTAGGCCAGAATTCACCTTACGTTAGCACAAAATTGTTTAATCTACTTGTTTACAGCAAGAAAGACTGTTTCTTGATTTATTAAGTTCTTAGAATGTTGTTGCTAGTAGCCACAATTTACAGGATTGGTCAAGTGATTAGTCCTATTTTGAGCTAGCTCCAATGTTACTTTAGTTTTAGTAGTGATGGTAAATTTTGATGTAGAATTTCTGACAATGACAACGAATCTCAAAGGAAACCCCAGTCTTTTTTTTTTTTTTGCCCAATGCTGATGTTTACTTGCAGTGAACATAGATGTGTATTTGGTCAGTAGTGTAATGCAAATTTTAAAATGACGTGGTAAAAATTTTTACACAGAGGAAAAGATCCTTCATCTCAATCCGGAGCAAGAAAAAGACAAGACATACTCCATAGACAGTGAGGTACCATGACATATTTCTTTTAACATAAATAGCTGCCGGATTGATATTCTTTTGTTTAAATTCAAATTAGTCTCACTAGCCTCGCTTGAGATAATGCATTCTTTTAAATTTTGAACTGGAGAACGAGGCCAGAAAGGCTAATTTAAATTTAAATGAAAGAATAATTATAATCCGGCAGCCATTTATGAAAGTGGTCAATTGACAAGTAAATCCTCCATACTCAAGGAACACATTCCTTGTAGTGCTCCTTTCTCTCTGTTTACTTGTACATGAGCACTGTGTTACTTTCATTTGCACAACTGTTTTCAACCTGGAGAGGCAAGTCCTGAAAAGCTTTTTGAAAATCAAAATCATACATTTTCTGAAGACAATTACATGACTTGCATAACTGAGCCGTGTGACTGTCCAATGTGATCTGTCATCCAGTCATGTTGAGTGGTTTCATAAATCATTTGTTTTACTTTTTTCTTTGTTAGACTGGAGTTGAGTTGGAACTGGTGGAAAAGATGCCTCTGTTGGAGTGGCTTGCAAACAACTATAAGAGTTTTGGTGAGTGAGTGGACAGTGCACATTTTGAAAAGTGCTGAAAACTGTTCGATAAAGATCTCTGATTAGTAATGTTACTTCAGAGGGTTTTAAAACTGTTCAAATGACCTCAATGAGATGGGAGATTGTATAAATTGGGATCTTTATTGTAATGATTATTTTCTCCCCTTAGGTGCAACATTGGAAATCATAACTGACAAATCTCAAGAAGGAGCACAGTTCTGTAAAGGCTTTGGAGGAATTGGAGGTACAGAGTTATGCTAAAGTTTGTTTATTAATTATCCGAACAACTGTAGAAGAATCATGTATCAGAACAGCAGGATTTGGTTATTTCTCATCTTTTACTGATGGGTATTCTCTGGGTTTCCTTCCTCCTAAAAAAGGCAGATCGCAAAAGCTCTCTTGCTGATGTGTTAAGTAGTGCTGAGGTACATGTTCTATAGGTAGGGTAGGTTAGGTGTGTGCTCTAACCAAGTGGCCCATCCAGCTGAACCTTACACCAGTTTCTTTAGCGTTAACTTGTTGCAGACTCGCTCAGCTGTGCTTCGCGAGTCCACAAGATTTTGACCACTGCGATGGCGAATATTATTGTCGATGAGACTACAGAGCACGTTAAACCACAGTCGATTTGTTAAGTGTCGGCCAGTAATAGTTGTCTCCTTTCTTTCAGGGATTCTGAGGTATCGCGTGGATTTTCAATCTATGGACATTGACCCAGACCTGGAGTATTATAATGACAGTGATGATGATTACTAGCAAGAAGAGAAGCTTTCTTACAAGTGCATTGCATCTAGACATGAACTATGAATTTACTACCCTCACTATTATAAGAACAGTTGCATTGTTCAGTCTTAATTAAAATATTACATGCCTCTCCCTCACCAAGCTAAGAGGTTTTAACAGACAGTCAAGGGTCTTTAAGCAAATCGATTGATGCTAACCAAGCAGACATAGAAGTCATTTATGTGTGCTTCTGTCTATATATGTTTGTCAGCAGTCATTATATTGTACAGGACTGTTGATATATGATTGCGTTCAAATACAGGTACAGCTAAACAGTAATTATTTAGCCTGTATGGCCAAACCAGGCGCTCAGAACAAATTTTGCAGTCATTGCTGTCTGAAGTTTTGGCATGCGCGTAAGTATGAGGCTTTGAGAAACGAGAGCCGGCCAGAGGTCGATCTGCAATGAGTCTAGCGCTTGATTCGTCCCGAGTCGTCTTCATACAATAGGGAACTTAAGCAGTTAGGACGACAACACCAAGGAAAACGTCGATTAAAAAATGAATTTCTACTTTTAATCAGAATTTCGAAAATGGCTGCATGTATTTACCATCTCATACGGCGCCACAACTCAACCTCAACATATAACGTATAAAAGTAGCGTTGAGTTCTTAATGGAAATTAAAATAATTTGCCGTCACGGTTTCGGTTCAAAGACGACGCAAAGTTTGGTGATTTCACGTTGTTGTTTTGCAAAGGACGGCTAAGGAATGTACTAAGTTTTAAAATGCACGTGCTGAGCTATTGTTGTGCCAATTAGATCTTTTGTTTTTCCACGTCCTCGTTGTCGTTGCCGTCGTGGTTTGCTTTAAGGTCCCAAATATTGAGCACGGCGCTGGGTTAGGGGAGCAGCGAATGATGGGAAAGCGAAAGAGGCCTTAACCATCTCAAAAATTTCTTCTCTGGCCATCGTAGATTGATATGAAATAGCACACAAACTGCAGTTACTAACATGTTGGTAAAACCATCTCACCCTCCCCTCCCACCTTGCCTCGTACCGCAGCGTTTATTAGGTCTGGCACCGATAAAATTGTGTAAAATCCCTTCAAACCTCCAAGGGATTTATGATTTCTGATTGTGTTGGAGACCTGCCGTTAGTTATTAATCATAAATGGAGATGATGTAGAAGGGGTATTTGTCCATTAAAAAGGCTAAAGTTAACGCGCACGATACACTGTTTTTTAAGGTTGGGCAAAAGGAGTGAAATGTGTTCTGGTCAACCGCGCAAACTGTTTGAAAGTCTGATCTCAGTAATACGAGACTGGAGTAAAATGGTGAATTCACTTCCGTCTTACTTGTGGTGAATCAGAGGCTGTTGGTTTATTGTTTGTACCATCGATTAATTAGAAAGTCCTGACTTTTGATTTAACAAGTGTAGAATATTAATCTATTGTAGATTAAATTGAGAGTTGGTGTTTACTTGATAGTTAGTCTCTTTCTTTTTTTTGTTTTTTTTTTGTTTTGTCTTGAGGTTATTTTTTCTTCTTTGTGTGACATGCCGACTATTATACCCTTGAGCTGAAAAAAAAATTGTATTTACAACCGTAAGTTCTGCTTGCTTATAAAAACAGACCGCTTCTAACACGTTAACATAGCTGAAAAGCGTTAAAATCGCATTCAACCATAGGCAACTTTTGTCTTAATTTTCAGTTGAGAATCTCATCGTATTTGTCACATTCAGTTGTTTTTATGGCCTTCCCAAAGACGAGATGTCTGTTACTCAGTGGTTTAAGCATCCAGCTGCTAGATCGGAATTTTAAGGTTCGAGTCTTCATGGACTTAGTTTTTCCCCCTTGCATCACACTTGTTCTTGATCAATTCTAAATTTCGTTTCCACCCTTCATCCCTATTTCTGGTTACTCGTGCTTGGTTGTTTATTCTTACAGATTTTGTAACATTGGCTCGCATACATTCCATGAAACATGAAATAACGAGTGCATTAGTGGAAAGTTTACGATTTAAAAGGTGAAGAAATTTGAATATCTTGGATACTTACATGTGGAAAATAGTCTTACGGTCACTCAATTCTACCGAACACATTTTTGAATGAAATTTTTAATGTAGCCTAGAAAATACTACTCTGTACTCAAAACAAAATGACATTTACCGGTACATTCGTTCTTCATATTCTGCGTTGTAACCTTCGGGTTAAATCTTGTCTACGCCAATCAATTTACTTAGTGAATGTTGATTAACAAAGTTAGTTAAATCAACACTGCTTAAAATGAAATTCACATACAGTTGAGTTTTACCTCGGAATATACTTGATGAAAATGGCCTGTTTTATTTTAGCTGCTTCATGCGTTTAGCATAGATAAACAAATGATGACTTACAAAAATTTAGTTTCCACGCAGTTCAAATTAAACAAATCTTATCATAATTGTATTTACAGAAGACGGCTAACTAAAGTCACGCCACTTAAAGTTGCGTGACTTGTTTAGCTGAGGGACACAGCCTATCATTGGTCACCAGTCAAGCGAAGCATCTTCTTTTAAGTCGTTACTCTATACCTTTTGTGTTCCAAACGTCTTTTAAATTAAGGAGAAAACTTGATTCTGCATCATGGATTCCCTTCCATCCCGATTATTTTGTCTTTTTGCTACAGCCAATCTGTGGATCGGAGAAGCTTTGGTAGGTTACAAATCTTGAAAGCGTAAAATTTGCACCGTTCGCCCGTAGGTGTTGTGGAACGCACTACTTCAAAACAAATGCACTTGTTGTGTTATCTGAACGCGCCCAAACACAAAACTATGTTTAAAAGGTATCAGGCACTAACTCAGACGAGTCGATCATTCGATTTTCATGAAATCCGATGAATAAGGGCTCTCAAGATCATATTAAACACCGACAGCGTGATATATTGCAAACAGTTAACAGTATACAAATTATTATGTGTAAAATTGAATTCGAAGTGTCAAGAATTGTCCGGTAGCCGACAGGTTTTTGAAATTACTCCTTTAGTATCAGATGCATTTTTAGATTACTGGAAACTTCACGTTAATTCGATTTTGAATTTTCTAATTGGAAATAGTATGTAATGATCACTATTGTGAAGATGTGATAAACTTAACTTTAAGTGTGTAACATGGTCCAAGGTTTTCGCAACATTTGTTGAATAATACATCGATCGTTATTACCGTCTGCATTGCCTAGGCAAAGGAATATTGTGGATCTCATGAAGGAAAAGAATACTTCTGTGATGAAGGTAAAATCCATCAATTTTTTTAAGTTTGGTAGCAATCTTCTGTGACTTTGTTCTTTGCACAACACTTTGAAAACAGCAAGAACGCTTGCATACTTGTAAATCCAGTTAATTGCGAATTGCAACTTACATTTTATTTTGCTGTAACAAAAATTTACCTAAAACAAATTTCAGTCTCCGTGATTCAGCTATTATATTCATAGTTATATTCATAACTCAAATCGAAGGTAAAAGTAGTACTTGCTAACAGCAATACAGAAAAAAAGCCTGTTTGGTTAATTTGCCTCAAAGATTTTTATTTTTTCTCTGTTTACCTTTTTGAAATAATCATGAAGGCCAATGCTGTGGAGACTTTGACTGTTGTAACTACTTCAAGTACTACAAGGCCTGGTGTAAGTGAGCCTCTCTAAATTTCGCGTTGTTTTGATTTTTTTTTTCTTTGATTTGTTTTGTTTGTTGTGTACATGGGTGTTAGGTGGGTGTGTCTTTGTGGTAAGATAAATTGGTTAACAATGAACATTGGCAAAAAGCTGAATTGTAAAGCCGATGTCTGTGGGATTGATGACAATATTACCTGGTGACTTACAGGGTTTTGGCTGGTTTGGGCTGTGATAAGCATATTGGGATGCTGCTGTGCATATCAACGCAGACGTCACTACGGATGGCATGGACACATCAGGAATTTCATTTACCCATTGGCTCCAGCCAGAACAGAAGATCAACCACTTACTCCCTATGAGGAATTTTTTTCTTATCCCAAGTACAATTTGCCATCTTATGCTGAAGTAGAAGCTATGGGTAGCCTGGGACCTCCATCAGATGTAGAAAATGCACCGCCCCCTTATGCGGACCCACTAGCAAATGAGAATTTGGAAGATGATGCAGACAACTTTCAAAATGGTGAAATATTTTTGCAGAGTGAAGGGGATCATGAAAGTTCAACTCCCCTTATCCCTCCTGACACAGAAGAGCAGACATCAGAGAATTCATAACAATTAGTCTCATAATTTCTTTTTCTCAGCTGAAAGAGAAATGTGTGTGCACAAAAATGTCAATGCATGTGACATTTCAAGCTGGTGTAGACTCAGAGTAGAACAGTTGTGAATATGGGTTGTGGTGATAAATTCAAAACATATTTTCCTCACATTACATCAAACATGAGCACTTGAAATAATTATGAGGGAAATATTATATTACACTGTGTTCAGTAGCATCAATCAAATAAGAAGATCAGTACATATTAGCAAACCAAACCACAAAGTACTTTATGTTCCTCAGTGTCCAGTTAAGATTTTTCAGGTGTGATTATCCTGTTTTGCCCCAAAAAATCACATGCAAGACAAATTTCAAATGTTCACAGAGAGCATAATCAAGAATATGGTATGGATTGAATAATAGTAATAATAATTACAATTTTCTTTATAGCACTTATAGCAAGCCTCTAAGTACTTTACAATGTGTGTGTGAGAGAAACAAATTTTAAATAAAGATAAAGTGTTTGAAAGTCCCTACTGGCAGGAGGCAGATCAGTTGGCTATTTAGTGAGGGCTTGAGCTCAGGGCAACCAAGAACAAATCCAGTGACTAGCAGGGTGGAGGACTTGAACCCAGGATACTGGATTACAAGTCCAGCACCCTAACTACTCAGCTATGCTGAGTGAACCTAGCAGGTGACATGCTTTTCCTATGAATGGGATAAACAGTACATTCAGAACCCTCTACCTCAATGAATCTTTGAGTTTAAACCTATAGGCCTCATTCAAATCTCCTTGTACTGTAGTGTAAGACTCGTGCAGTAATCAAACTTGTAATACAGAGTTATGATCATGTTACAATTGAACTGTACTGTATGTATGTAAATATTATCCTTTAACTTGTATCATAATTGCTTTTTGATGGAATATGTCAAAAAGAATACTGGTGTATAATAATTTATAGAATCAATGTACAGGTAGGTAGATTTATGAACAATGCGAGACAAACATTTGTATTTTACTCCCATGTTTTGGAAAGGGTAAAGATGTAAAGAAGTAATCCTGTCCAAAATTGTGAGAGAAAATAACCTGTGAAGGTGTAGAAAATAACCTCTTACTGAGCAAAGTAGAGATTGATTTCTCAAGCAGCCTGAATCTAGTTATGTGTTTATCATTATTCACACATTTAAATAATGTCATGTTTGTGTGTTTCAGGTTTAAAACAATACCATTATGTTACTAAACAGCAGTGAATTATTTTTGATATTCTTGCATATGTATAAAACAACACTTAAATTAAATTTATTTAATATAATACCACAATTGGTGTTCAATTTAGATTAAATTACAAAAATCAACTTTATTTTTTGGAATTAACTCGTTATTTCTAGTTCTAAGATTTAGTATCTTGCTTTTACAAGCTGTCAGTTGACTGATTTTTTTCAAGTCAATCATAAAGTGATAACTCATCAGGTAATTTCAGTTTTAAAGCCGGGGTTTCTGGAACTATTTGCACATGATGTGGTTCCCATTTTGTAGCACAGCTAGCCTGATCTTTTTTTTTCTCCTTTAATAATACTACTGGTGTTTCTGGGGCATTTAGGAGTGTTGAATATTGGTCACAATACTCTGCTACCTCTTGAGATGTATGTGCAAGTAGAGGTGTCTCTGGTATGGTGGAACAGGCTCTATGTTCTCTCATCTGATGTACTACTAATGGAGGGTGTGGGGTCCTACGAATTGCTGGTAATGGTTTGCCAAGCTGGTTTGCTTTAGAAAAGTTATTTAAATGTAAAGCTGGTATTTCAGGAGTTGCAAACTTCTTTGTGCCACTCGCTGTTATTTCTGATTTTCTTCTTTCTTTAAGTGACTTTAGTGCTGGTAATTCATGATCTATATTGATGTTTTCAAGGCAAATTTCCATGTTGTTAAGCATTCCCTGATGAAAGCTGTCACTAAGATTTTCTGGGAAGGTCATTCTATCTATGAAATGAAGAAATATGACAATCAATCGCCTTTATTACAAAGAGTGAAATGCAAAATAGCAGCATGCTGCATGCAGGTAAATTCTGCAGGCAAGTTTGCTATCATAGCTATCAAGATTGTCCTATTAGAATGACACTTGATTTTGTCAGTTTTTGCGTCGAAAACTCTCTGAATTAGTAAAATAGTACAAAGATGTTTATCTCTCAGGCTATAGAAGTTAGTTAGAAGCACTTACCGATAAAATGTGGGGGTAGCAAAGTACACCTGCATTCTAATGGCCAAGCTTTCCAAGCTCAAACTAGAGTAACTACTTTCCTGTAGCATAACGCCATCATATAAGCTTACCAGCATAATAACTTTTAGATCCTTTCCTTTTCTTGGTATATCCTTTATATACAGGTGCTCTTCTCTTGGTTATTACAATATTAAGAGGACTAAACTGTTTTTGATCCATAGTATGATTTCTAGCTGTCTTCACTGCGCTATGAAACTTCTCATCTTGAATCTTCAACTTCTGCATGCTAAAAAAAGAAAAGGTAAATACTAACGTATGATATTTAGAACTCCTGGATTCCCCCTCTCCTTTGGCTGTGGTCAGTATCGCAAACACAGAAGTATATTTAACAATTATTCCACAAGCATGTGTTGGATATGAGATGATAGATAGCCAACGAGGTGCGTAGCGCCAAGTTAGCTATAATCATCTCATATCCAACAAGTGCGAGTGGAATAATTGTTTTATTAAAAACGCCCCCAAGAAATAATTATTTTGTAAGAAGAAACCGGATTTTTTAGCTCTCTTTTGATTTTAAGCTGATGCGTACACTTGCCATATTTGTAGATTATGGTATATTGGCTCATATACCATAATGGCTAAGCCAATAAAAAGTCTTGAATTGCATTATTCAATGATCCAGTTTTTAATAATTTTCTTTAGTATAATTATACCAACTTGTCACAATTGTTTAAAATATTTCTTTCCTTTCCAAAATAAATTATGGTTCAAGATGTCTAACCAAAGAGTATTCTTTGTGCAGCTATGATTTCTTTCTTCAGAAAGAGTTTAAGTTGGAAAATTGTATCTCAAATGAAAAGCTCTCACCTGTATTGAAAATCATATCTTTGTGTTACGATTGCTGTCTTTTGGGCTGGATGAAGAGTATCCTTTCGTTATTTCTGTGTTTAGGAAAAAATAAAGACATGCCTAGTCCTGAATAATTTAAAAGCAATGGGCTTTGTTCATAAATACAACGCGTAGGTCTCAAAGATGTTGAATTCTCTGCTTTCTAAATCCACGGCTACATTTTAATGCCTTGCGGTTGATGTTTATTCAGAAAGGTAGACTACACATTCTCTTGCAGCTGTACTTTTAATTTAATGGTCTATCTAATGAAACTATAAACGGTCTGAAATTCCAAAATCAAGCTTGAAAGACTCAGCAGAATAAAGATACGCTTTTCCCTTTGTTTGTTTTTTGGTTTTAATTCTATTACACTTACCTCGCTCGCAAAATATGTGAATAGCATCGTCGCAGTTTTATTTAGCGATGTTGTTGTCACTTTACTGTAGGAGAATTTCCTCAACTTGAAATATTAGGACTTTCTTCAACGTTTTCACCATCAAAAATTATCGAAAGGAAAAGACTTTGACTTTGACTTTAGCACTGATAATTCAAAATAGATTTTATAATAATAAAAAATTACGAAAAAAATATGAAATTTCCCACCTTTTTTTTGTCAGCCAGCTGCCTGTGAGTTTCCCGCCAAAACAGTGTGATCCCGCTGATAAATTTATCTTCGCGGACTCATCAAGAAAAGCGTTATGGCTGCTGCACCAGCCTCCGAAGAAACAACATTTTCTCATTTCTCGAACGTCTTTATAAAGGATGTGAGTCCACAGATGGGAAAAGGCGTCTTTGCCAAGAAGTATTTCAGAGAAGGAGAGCTCATTTTTGAAGAAAGACCGTTGGTTTGCAGCCAGTTTTTGTGGAATTCTCTCTACAAGTACACGGCTTGTTCTAATTGTTTGAGGTCTTTGGAAACAGCTGAGCAGATGGCGCGTAGGTTATCGGGAAATGACAACTTGCAACTTCCTTACGCATCCAAGTGTTGTGAAATTACGCGTATGGGACAGAAAACTATTAGCTGTCAAAACTGTCAGGTACTACTCATTACGCAATGTACACTGGCAGAACGGTAACCACCTAGGAGTCACCTTGCCCGAAGTCATGTCGCTCCGAGCCTAAGTCATGTGTCTCAAAATTTTAGTCAGAACTTAACATTTTAAGGCAAAAGGTCACTGGCCACTCGTGGGTTCAGTTCTTGATTTTAAATTGGGAGTATTTGAGATACGATGAGTTTAATTTATCAAAATTGAAGCGAACTGGACAAAATGGAAGCACTCTTATTTATCACTTTAATTTTCTTCATAGGTTAAATATTGCAGCGAAGAGTGTAGGCAATGTGCGTGGGATCAATACCACAGGACTCTTTGTTTGGGACAAAATGAAGGAGATCCCAGCCATCCTTTAGAACAGTTACAGGAAACCTGGAGGTTTTTATCATATCATTTTTTCCAAATTTCTATATATAGTCTTTACAAAACTTTTAGATCTATTTATTTTTGTTTTAAATTGCATTCCGTTTCTATAACCTTATAATAGAAGTGTGATTTTTTTTTATCAGAAAAATGCACTATCCCCCAGAAACTGCAAGTGTGATGCTTATTGCACAAATGATTGCAACAGTATTGCAAGTAAGTGTAGCAATGAAATGATACAGACAATTGTATCACCACAACTTGACCATTTAGTATCCTGACATCAGCGATGATGGATATTCTCTGTACTTTCTCTATACATTCAAATACTAACTTAAAGGTGCTATAACAAGGAGAATCAGTCCATCAATAAGAGCTTCTGTAGTTGGGCATCATTTCCCCCTATTCTTGTGACCTTAATCTTGAATTCAGGGGTAACAAGGCTATGCTCCAAGAAAAATTAAAGGGAGCCCAGTAGTCTGAAACTGCGAGATCCAGGGTACCCAGCATATGCTTTTTATGAAAAAAAACTAAGATTCCTGAGTTGCCCAAGAGCAAAATTGAGGCACCAGGGGGCCACTGCACGCTGCTAGACCACAGCCATAGGTAAAATTATAAAGAGAAATTAGATGCTAGTCATTTGTAAGGGTCAATACAGTTGAATAAAAGATGGAAAAGATTTTCATTTTTCAGTTAAAATACATGAACATACACTGTACAATATACCTCCTATTATCAACAAACATTTTGTCTTTTTTTGTTTGTTTTGTTCTGTATTTTCTTTGCTTACTTTTTCTTTTTTTTCTTTTTTTTTCTTTTTTTTTTTTTTTTTTTTTTTTTTTTGCATCAGGCACCAGATCCTAAGAAGATGCAGGATACATTTGAATCTTTTTGCCACTCTGTTGTGAATCGAGGGCAAAAGATTGTTCACAAACTACTAGGAGATCAGTTCAAGGTTTGTTGACAGCAGTGTGTCATTGGGATTTTTTTCAATGAAACATGTGACTTTCAAGGAAAAAAATGCTTGCATTCACCGAATCGAAATTTGGCGTCCAATTTGAATTGTCATTGTTCTGGACTTACTAGCCTCTCACACATGTGATAATCTTTTTGTGTTTCCTTGCAAAGATGAGGCTAGTAAGTCCAGAACAATGGTAATTCAAATTGGATGCGGTATTTTGGTTCTGTCAATAAAGAAACTTTTGTTTTCTTATCAGGTACAAAACATAGTCAAAGTCATAACTTTACATCTACATATACATAGATAAAATGGATCATTGTCAGTATTTGAGCAATTGTGCACCTACCCCTCTCCCCTAAGCCAACATTAGCCGTAACTTGTTATCAGTTGACTTTGCGGGTTGGGTGAGGGGAGGGGTGGGCATGCAGTTGCTCAGTTACTGAGTTAGACTAATAATGATAATGAAAGAAAGAACTGTTGTTGATTATTGTTTTTGTTTACATAATTATGTTTTAGTATAGTATAACTTATACTTATGGGGGCTGACCTCGCTGGGACTTCGAGTCCGTACATTAGTCTTTCATTTAGTACCTTTTTTTTAACTCTTTTTATCATTATTTTTTGTCACTAAATGGAAGTTACTATAAATAAATAAATGTGTCTGTTAGGGATCCAGCTCCTGACTAGCAAGATGCTAATTGGTGACACAGTATAGTTATACAATAAGAATTATCTTAAAATGTACTAATTAATACACTAATAATACAGTAACATAAGCTATAATAACACATATTTGATGTGGTTTTTGAAGTGTCCTTCTCCTGTGAGAAATTTAATTCTATAGAGTAAAGGAGTTCATCATTTCCTTGAAGGAGCAGCTAGACATCCTAAGAGTGCAAATGTCCAATGCACTGTATGATGAGAAATTAGAAGAGGTAAGCCGGGTGTACAATGTACTGAAAAGTTGTGCAAAAGTTTCAACTTCCTAATTGTTATTAAATACCATTAATTTAATCATTATGATGACACAGCACACTCTTGCAATAAAATAAGATCTAAAACATTATAATTTCAAAGCCCAAGGTCCCTTGTAGGTGGGTACATGTACTACAGATCAACAGACACCAGGGTGGTGGATGGAACACTCCTGATTGTGAGAGTCTGTGTATGTGAGTAGCTGAGTGTGTAAATAGATGAGAGTGTGTGAGTGAGCGTGTGTGATTTAACCCAAGACATAAACCAAGACAAAATATATACTTGTAGTAGGTTCAAAATACAATATACTACAAGTCTGTGCTGTATCCCACATGAGCTACTGTATATTGTCCAATCCTTCAGTTGAAATAACCCAAAAACACTCAAAAGCAAGTTCCATGCAAGCAAAAACCTCGGTAATGTGCATGGTAGAGATAAAGAAAAAGAGTAATGATTTGTGATAGTAAAAGAAAAAAAAGCACTGGTCAATGGGCAAACTTTGCATGGTGATAGTAACTGGAAAATAAGTACTGTCAGTAAATGACTTAATCCCATAAGGTATTGGGATAAGACCATAGAGATCAATAAGAATTCAGAATTCATATGTTCATGTATGATCTTACAGATTACTTCATTGAAGTTTCTACATTGTAACTGCCTCTTAAAAATTACTTAACTTCAATGATCTTATTTCATACCTCTCAGATACATACCTTGTAGCATTCATCTACCTTTAACATTATTACTGCAATAGTAACATGATTCCTATTTCACTGTTAGTGGTTTAAAATGGATGGTTTTCTTTCGCTAATGGCTCTTATTGGAATCAATGGGCAAGGAATTGGAACAAGGCAAGTTATTGGATGGTATTGTTTTATCCTGTCAAAACTGCCCCGTCCCCCTCAAATCTGCTCTAAGTTGTGGATTTTAAGTACTCTATACAGGTCTTGTGTGAGGTGTGGTACATAGTTACATACGTACATTAGTTGACCACTCCCTATGGGGGCTTTACAGGGCCAAGTTCCACCCATCCCACCCCAGGGGAGGACATCCACTACAGTAATCTTGTGGATAGGAAATTAACGTCTCCTACCCCTAACCCTGCAGGAGACGGGGCCTACGGTTTATTCGTCCTTATCCGAGAAGACTAGAATATCTATCCATTTTTTGATTATGGAAAGGTAGCAAATTCTCCTCACTAATTTTAAGACCATGAGTATCGGTCCGGCCGGGGCTCGAACCCTCGACCTCCCGCACAACACAATCCGGCGCTCTAACCAATTGAGTGGCCTCATGGTTGGTGTGCTTGACTTCAGATGGAGTGGTCCAGGTTTGAGCCCTGGCCAGGGACATTGTGTTGTGTTTTTGGGCAAGACACTATACTCCAACTCAAAGTGCCTCTCTTCACCCAGTTGTTTAAAGAGGTACTAGCGAATTTAATGCTGGGTGGTAACCCTGCCATGGACCAGCAATCCATCCAGGGGAGAGTAGAAATACTCGTGGTCCTTTCATGCTATGGAAACCAGAGTTAAGTGCTGGCCTGATGGGCCACTTGGCTTGTAAACAGACTTTACCTTTACCTTTTATACAGGTCTCTCTAAGCTGTAACTTTTTTGGTCATTATGGTGAATGGAAAAAAAATTTGAACTTGGAGCACTCGTTTAAAATACAAACACTATTCAGTTGTCTTGAAATGGCTTTTGCAGCAATTTTCCCAAATTCATCAAGACAACTTTATAGGTACATTTTTAGTGTGGAATTTCAATTTGCCTCTTTTAAACACATAAACCACGCAAATTATGAAAACTCTGTCACTGCTCTCAGCCATGCTTCAACCAATTTTCATTTCAGCTCCTTGAGTGTTTATGTTCACAATCTTGAAAACCTTGGAGATATATCTGAGGATGAACGGCAAGCTCTGGATGTTTTTATTGATCAACTTTATGAAGAAATGGATAATGGTGAGAAAATCTGACCTGATTTATGATCTTTGTCGTTGCATTATTGTGAAATGTTTATTTTGGCTTCTATACAATTATCCTTTTACACCTCACCAGTTTCTGGGCAGTTTCTTAACTGTGAAGGTTCTGGTTTGTATGCACTCCAAAGTTCATGTGAGTACATTCAGTTTTTTTTCGTTCTTTTTCTCGCGGGCAGAATAACAGCACTTATTTACACCAATATCAGTCACTCATTTTTCCTGTGCTACAAAAGAAAATTAGTTAAAGTTGCCCCACGTCCTCAATCTTGCTATTTTGTTATGAGTTGTGAGTTTTTTTTCGTTACCGTGACTATAAAAGGTCATCGGAACTCGCAAAATATGCCACGGTATTATACGGACAGGAAGCGGAGCAACAAAGAGGCAGCACTGAACGATCCAAACTTTGGTTTCACTCCAATAGTTTTAGGCCAGACTTTAATGGATTCTCTTGTGTTGTCTTCGTCGTTTACGCAAGCCATATTCGATCGATACCGCCGATGCGCAGATAGGGCCTTAGAATGTGCTTCGAAAAGTAGAAGCCGAAATACCAGAAAATGAAATAGTAGTGGAATCATAAATCCCTTATTCGAGGGCTCAACGCATAATTCGAGTGGAGGTTTTGCTCTCTGTTCTTATTTTTCCTGGCCCAGTAACTTGCAAAGTATCCGCGCGTATTACATGTATAATTATGTTGAACCATGGAAGAACGTCTATTTATTGCTCTGTCACAAAAGCGAACATGTACCTTATTTAGCTTCTGCGCCGGTGGTAAACCACACAAAGCCAAAAAAAACTTGCCATGAATTTTTTCTTTTTTTTTTTGTGATAACTTTTGTGGGCAGGTAATCCCAGTTGTGACCCTAACGCAGAAGTTAGTTTTCCCCACAACAACTCAACATTGGCATTAAAGGCTCTCCATGATATTAAAGAAGGCGAGGTATGGCAAATATTTCGAAATGTTTATTTCTGCAGTAAATGCCTTTATGGCAGTCGTATTATTATGCACATGCAATGTTGAATGCTCGTTTGAATTGCAATTTTAATTGCAATTGACGCTACTCGCACAAAAAGATGCCGACTAGGTAAATTCTGAAGTAGTGTGAATTTACACTTGAGGGTAGAGAGACGTGTTGATAGTGACTTCTCATTCCCAGCCCTTTACACTCTAACATCACTGTGCATATTGTCCATATTTCTCTAAAGATTTCCTAAGGTGCTGACAACGAATTTTTTTTTTTAAACAATCTGCTGTTGCTTTAGTTAGGGGTCATTTCCTTTATTCTCGTGACCATAATGTGTGATTCAGGGGTGAAATTGTAAGGAACAATCAGATGCTTGGCTCTATAAGGAGTCAATTTTTGAAAAAAATAGCTCGGATCTAAAGATTAGCGCGCTGACCTGTAGGCCGCGGCCTCTTCCCAATTGGTCCCATGCGATTAAAATTGCACGTACTTAAAATATAATAGTCTTTGAAAGCTCTGTTTGTCGAGCAACATGATTACAGTTTAATTCTATCGATCATGTCAGGAAATTGTCATTTGTTACCTGGACGACTGTGATCGAGAACGAAGCCGACACTCAAGACAACGTTTACTGAGGTAATCGCAACGAGAAATGTCTTACATTCACGTTAACTAACACTCGGATGCAAAACCTTCCCTAAGGGTTTGGAACTTGGGAATCCAAATTACATCACCCACGTTGGTTTCCACCGTGGGCTGGTCGTTTCCACTAAGCAATGGGCTTCAAATTCAACTTTTTTTTCAAAGTCGTACTTTGACGATTTAAACTCGCAGAATGGTCGCTTGAAATGAAATTTTATTGGCCAATAGCAAGTAGAGAGATGAATGAATAAATTAATAATAGGTGGAGGCATTGTGGCCGAGTTGTTTAATAATAATAAATTAATAATAAATAATTAAATAAATTAATAAATAAATTAATAATAAATAAATTAATATTAGGTGGAGGCATTGTGGCCGAGTTGTTAGGGCACTGGACTTGTAATTTGTTGGTCCTGTGTTCAAGCCCTCTTCTCTGCTTCTCACTGGATTTGTTCTCGATTGCAACGAGTCCAAATCCTCGGCTGCTCTTTGTATATAGCCAACTGGTCTGCCTCTTGCCAGATAGAATCTTTAAACACTGTGTTTATTTACAATGTCTCTTTCCAATCTGTTTGATCTGACCCTAAAAGGCCCCCTTGGGGTAGTGGTCAATCAGTGTTTTTTTATCATGATTATAATATAAAGTAAAAAGGAAATAATTAAAAGGGATATTTGTGCAACGTTACATGACGTACATTACCGCTAATCAGAACACTCGTCTTTACGACATGTAATTAGTTTGTGATCGTTCTTTGAGGTTCACACGTCTTCCTATGGCTTGATTACTCGGACAGTCAGTGAGAGGGAAGCAAGTTTTCATGGAAGTAAACGACGAAAACTAATAGATATTTCACTGAAATTGTTCATTTAACTTAAACTTAAGACCACAAAGGCTGCAAACTTTCGCAGCAGATATAAACGCCAAACATTATTGCTACTGTGGCTTGATGCTTGGAGCACTGAAGTGTGTTGTAAAATACAAGTCTTGTATATTTTTAAGGGAAAATTACCTGTTCAACTGTACGTGCCCTAAATGTGAATCACAATCTGGTGACCCGGATGTGACATCAAGTGAAGACGAAGATGATTGTATGGAAGAAGACTCTTGACAAAAACTTTGGCTTTTTCTTTTCATCACGGAAAACATAGTGTTTGTTATGGATACTGCCAAGATTGTATTTCACCGGAAGATGTTCGAGTTTACTGGCTTTTTATGTCTTCATTCAAGGTTGTATATTTTAGTTCCAACGAGCTGGTCTTAATTATTGGTCACAGAAAAGGGGAGAACATGAACTGGTGGAATATAAATCTGAATCACAAGACGAAATGTTCATAGAACATGAATATCTAAAGGAGCAGTAATTAAAGAATGGCTGGGGATTTGGAGAATTTTGAATTGACCTGATCCCCGCGTAAGACTCTATAATATTCTTATTTCAACCCTCATTGGCAGTTAATAATGATAATAATAATAATACCTTAATTTATTATCTTTGGCGATAAGAATTACAATACTATTACAGTAAAAAATTTCAAAATTCATAAATTTAATTTCAAAAAATTCAAAACACAACAAATAAATTAATTGGCAGTCAATTTTCTATGATCTCTTCTTTCTATTCTGTTGGAGACGACTGATATCCCCCTCCGTTCCCCCTGAAAACCATATGAAACCC